ACAAGAAGCGGCGGGAGCGACGGGCCGGGGCGCGATGCCCCGCGCAGCAGCCGAGCTCGGCGGCCGTCCAAGCAACGGCAGCCTCGATCATCATTGCGGGCCGTCCATCTCGTAGCCGCAGATGTCGGAGTCCACGTGGTCCACGTGGTTGAAGCCCTCGACCAAGTCGTCGCGCTCGTCATGCCCGTAGTTGGGCTCGGTGGTCGGCAGCAGGAGCGCGACGTACCAGAGGTTGTGCCACACCATGTCGTTGCTCTTCAGCGCATGGCCCTTGCAGTGACCCTTCGAGTTGCGGAAGATCCGCACCTGGTTGCACCGGTCGCGCCCGCTAGGCAAGGCCAGCTGCGACACGATGCACTTCTTCAAGGCCAACACCCGCACACCATGGCCGTCGTACTTCGGGTCGAGCAGCCTAGGGTTTGGAACCGCGACGGGCGGCCACTCACCAGTCTCCTGGATCTTCACCTGGAACATCAAGTGCGGCTCGATGTCGAGGCCCGACGCCACGCTCAGCATCGAGGGCGATGGCCCTGGAGACTCACCGCCACCCTCACTGACTGGCGGCGGTGACAGCATGACGTCGGGCTCCTGCAGCGTGGCGAGCAGTTTCGTCTTGGTGAAGTTCGCGAGCACGTACTCGTCCCACATCTCGAACAGCACGTCAGAGGGCTCGTCCGAGCCCAATGAGTAGATGTGGACCTTGGAGCCACTGTAGAAAGAATAGTCCCGCTTGATCGCATCCTTGATCATGGCCACCTCGACGCCGTTCTGCCACGATGGGTTGGTGCCGGCCTCTGCTAGGCAAGGCACCCAGCTGTTGAACTCCTTGCAGAAGATGCTGATCTTGTTCAAGCCGCGGACCGAACCCGTGACCTCGATGAACGCGGTGGCGGCCGTGGCGGCGGTGGCGGTGGCCTCCATCGCGGCGTGCGAACGCACGACAGGCGGCGAAGGTGTCGGGCCTCGGGCGTCGGCGAGGGCGCCGGGGCCGGCCGTCGGGCAGGGCGCTCGAGCCAAAGTGGCTGTCCGGACCGACGGTTCGTTGGTGTGTCTGGACCCCGGACCCCAAACAGTGAGTGCATGTCTACCAGCGTGGACCCCAAACAGTGAGTCTATTGTGGTCTACCAGCGTGGACCCCAAACAGTGATGTCATGGCTACTGTAGTGCGTGGTAATGGCTAGGTGGTGCGCTGTCATAGGGGTGCAGTGGTGCAATGTGGCGGTGCAGTTCGACGTGCTTGAGTGCTTGAGTCGCAGTGCTTGAGTCAGTGCTTGAGACGTGCGGCGTGTGACGCGCCGAGCCTGGGCCCGCCCAAAACAACACGGCGGAATTTCAAGGATGTCCAGACGGTAAGACGGTAAGGATGCAAGAAGGGTGCCGCGTCCGCGTCAGTCGCTCGAAAGACCCTGACGACACAGCTGCTGACCGTGTCTAGCGGCGGCTCGGTGTATCAGACCATACAGACAAGCTGTCTCGGGCAATGGGTACCGGACCGAATGACAAGACCCTAGGACGCAATGAAGGAAGGACAGGAGGAGCACGATGCGATGATGATGAGACTGGCGGCGCACCGACTGAGTCAGCGAGTCGAGCGTCGCCGAGAGGCCGCGACGCCACGCCCTGCCCCGGCAGAGCGGTCACCTCAACTGCGATCTATGCCGCGGCGGCTGACGACGCAGCACTGCCGGCCCCGGACGGCGGCGGTGCGCCAACGACTGCTGTACACACTGCACACGCCCAGCAGTGCACGGCCGGCGGCACGTCCTTGTAAACGAGGGACGCACGATGGCCGTCGACGGCCTCGCGCATCAAATCAACAACAGAGGCAGCGCATGCGGGGTGCCAGTACCCGAGGCACAGCGCGCACTGCACTAATGCGGCGGGAGCGGTCGTGCCTACGCACGCAACACACGGCTCAAGCGCCGACTCATCGTCGCCAACGATCGGCGAGTGCGTGACCTGCTGCGCTGCGACAACGCATTCCCTGTCCAGCGCGACAGTCCACATGGCGTGGCATCGCTGGACAGGGGCGCTCACGATGGCGCCTTTGTCGCAAGCCCGCAGCGAGACCCCGATGGCGGGCCATACTATACTAGATGTCTTCAAATAGACGGCCCGCACGCGTGCGTTACTTGGGTGCGCAACGGTGCCTTCGGGCATCAGCCCTGTCGGCCGCCCGTAGCACGACCGCGGCTGCACCCAGTGAACGCAGCACACCCGGCGGATACAGTCGTTGCGGGCCGCATCGGCTCTAGAGATGGACATGACCGACAGCTGCCCAGCCTCGCCAACGTCAGCGGTGCATGCTCGACGTCGAATCTGCAAGGCCCCGATGCTGACGGCGAACGACTCGGCCCATGCCCGCAACGCGGCGCGTGCACTGCACAGCGTGAGCGGCTGAGCGTGCGGCGGTGGCGGCGCTGGGGGCGGTGCCATGCTAGCGATGCCATCATGCACGGCAACCTCAAGAAACCGATCGGTGGTGGCAGCGATGTCGCCTGCAGCGGCGTCCGACGCGGCCGCCACGATGTCCACGCCCTTCGCTGCAGCGCCGTGGATCGCCGGCCCGAGCGCGGCGTGGTCGAGCCGATGCTGCAGCTCCTTCTTCGGCGGGCGTGCATCCCGCCCCCCCGCCACATCCCATCCCCCAATCCGATCCCCCCCTGCCCCACCCGCGCTGCCGTCGCAGCGACGGCGTCGCAGCGACGGCCTCGGCAGCAGGGGAGGGGAGGGGGGGGGGGCGGGGGCGGTGGTGGAGGACGGGTTACACACGTGCGAAGAGGATGGAGGGTTCCTAATGGAGGATGACAGGGCGAGCAGGTGGGGACGGTGGGAAGGACGGACGACCGGTGATGGACTGATGGCGGTCGTCCTCGGGCACCGTGCTGGCGTCGACGGACTCGTGGAATTCCAGGTCGGCGGCACTGGGGGCGGCGTCGGCGATGTCAATGCCCGCGTACTGGGCGGCCATCTCAGTCGACACAGCCTCGCTGGCGAGCAACTCGTCCTCGTAGACGCCGTCGGCGTGCGTGATGGTCGCAAGCGCATCACATAACGGGTCATGGTCGTCATCGCGCGACGGGTCCGCTGAGCCACCCGCGGGCGGGGGCGGGGGCATTGGCAATGGCAGCGGCGCCGCTGGTGACGTACTGGTCTGCGTCTTCTGTTTGAACTTCGCAAATCTGAGATGGGCGTCATCCAGCGCAGACAGCGACGCCGTCACCATCGACTTGCGGTCCCAGGTCAGGCGGAAACACTTCATGCGCACCGGGCCATCGCTCACACGCACCGGCTCGAAGAAGGTGTCGAACAGGCGGACCGATCGAACCGCTGTCAGACGGCGAACCAGGTGAGCGCACATGCCAGGTTCATCAAGCCTGAGCTCGGCGAACACATGGCGACAGCGGTCGCGCTCAATGCTAACCCACAAGGGGCAGCCGTTCTGGGGCGAGTCGCCGAAGCAGAAGCAGAGCGACATGCCAGCGGGCTGAGTTCTCCACACTGTGAAACGCCGAGTTGTGTGCGACGCACCAAGCGCGACGAGCTGACACGCGCATGTCAGGGTACAGCGCCCGCAGTGCCGTGGCCACGTTGATGCTCGGGTCGAGCGGCGAGTCCGTGTTGGGCAGCGCTGCGCGTCGTCGCGCACGGCGGCAAGCGTGGCGTCGTCGACGCGGCCACACAATTCTGCAACCTGTCTAGATAACGTAACATGATGCGATGACAATCCCGCTCATGAGGTGGATGCAGGACGGGGAAGGTGGGGATGATGGGGGATGCATGATGATGAGGATGATGATGATGAGGATGATGATGGTGACGATGTCGATGTACTGATGGCGATGCGAATGATATGATCAGGAGGAGGGGGGGGGGGGGGAGAAGGAAGGAGGGGGTTCGGAGTGGTTGTGACCTGTCGAGCTCCAGCGCGACGCCCACGCGCATCACCAGTACCAGCGAACCCGCCGATGGCGTGCTTGGTGGTGCACCTGGCGCCGAGGAGGTCGAGGCCGACGGACGGGGCGCGCTCGCTGATCAGGGAGATGGTCTTGTTGATGGATTCGTTCTCGCGCGTGTCCGGCCGCCGCGCGCGAGACGCGGCAGACAGCGCATGCCGCAGCCTAGGCGGGCACGCTCCCGTCTGCTGGATGGATCGGAGGTCGCGCGCGAACGCGTCGCGCAGCTTCCGAGTCCCGATGTCGAGATCGGCGGGGTCAGTGGTGAGCAGGGCATCCGCCGTCTGACGTCTCAGCGGGACGTCCGCCAGCCTGTCGCCGCCGTAGATCAAACCGAACATGCGATATGGCCACGTCACTGCTGGTTCCAATACTCGTCGGAAGAAGCCGCCAGCGTGGACCATGAGATTTGATGTGGCGCATGAGTTCAGCATGGTGCTCTCGTCGTCCCGGCGCAGGATGGCGCAATGGCTAACCCGTGCACCCGTGCACCAACAAAAAACAACATCTCAATGGGGGCGGCGGCCGGCGCTAGCGAGATGAGCATGCTAGCGCCGGTCGCCGCCCCTCGTATCAGATGATGATGGGGGGAGGGTGAGGGCGGCACCGAGGACGAGGTGGTGGTGAGGTCGAGAGGGTGGAAGGAGGGAGGAGCCGTGGAGGAGCGATTGGAGGAGGGGGGGGGAGGGAGGGGCAGAGAAGATGAGCGGGCGAGATGAGAGGATCGGAGGATGCACGGGGATGGCGCGGCGCCACGGGCTGTCCTGGGGCATGCGCCTGAACAGGTCCTCCCACGGGTGCGCGCTGAGCAAGGCGTCGTACTCGCTGAAGAGGCCGCCAGCCTGCGAGGGGGGATGGCGCGCCGCGGCACGGGGCCGGGGCACCGCCAGCCGATGGGGGCGGCGGCGACGGCGACGACCAGACCAGACCGACGTGCGACTGCGACGACGGCGACCGACGATGCATGACTCGACGATGATGATGACGGATGTGATGATGATGATGATGATGATGGATATGATGGTTTGGATTGCCGCGACAGCCTTGCCGCAAGCGAGCTCGGCGATGTGCTGCCGACCAGTAGCCTTCAAGAAGCAGCTCGCGTGGGTTGTCGCGGACCTGCTCCACAAGCTGCACTTGACCATGCCCCAGAAAAGAGGGTCGGCGGTCGAGGTCACGGCCTGCCTGCGCCATCGGCCCAGCATCGCAGACCAAGCCTTGGCGCTATCGGTGGAGAGGTAGCCGACGGCGCGGCGCGCGTCCACGCCAGCAGCGAGCACGGGCTCGAATGCAACAGCGGCGGCAGCTGCTTCTCCGGGGGCGCCCTCCACAGGCGCGGCCTCGGCAGCGGCGCGCCCAGCCAACGCGGCAGCGAAGGCGGCGTGCAACGCGCCGGCGACGGCACTAAGCCGTTCTTCGACTGATTCGACTGCACCCCATCGCGCTGAGCAGGCCTTGGGGCACAGCGTAGACGCGCGGGCCTTGGCATCCATCGGGCCGCACGCAGTGATCCACCACAAGTAGATGGGCCGCGCGGCCTCGCGCCAGACGTTGGCGCATATGGCGACGGTCGAGTAGTACCGCCACGACCGGCCCCATTCCTTCAAGAACTGATCTGCGAGCTTCAGCGCCTGGCCGATGATCAAGTGGACGACGTGCTCCCAGCAGTTGTGGCCCATGAAAATGACGCTGGGCATCGGCGCGGTCAAGATGGCGATGATGCGACGGGCCCTGACCTGATCTGACCCCTGGTCGGACGTGGTGAAGTACCAATGCAGACAGGAGTCGTAGGCGGCGGACGTGCCGTGCTCGTCCCACACAGGGACTCCGAGCGCCTTCAGCTGCTTCACGATCAAGCGGTACGTGCACTCGCCAGAGCCGCCGGTAACGGTCTGGACGTCCGAAAGCCGCTTGATGTAGCTGAACGCGTCGCACATCTGGCAGGTGCGAGTTGAGTCTGGCGGGAGCGGGTTCAGCATCACGTAGGCCTCGGCCTCGAGTGCGCACACCTTCTGGCGCTGCCACACTCCTGAATTCGTCGCGTCGCTGCGCCACGAGTAGACGTTGATGATGGAGTGCTGCGCTGGAGGCGCAGGCGATCGTGCCAGGAACGTTCCGAGGGCGTGGCGCCACTCACTGAAGAACTGGCGGCTGGTCGCCACGATGCACGAGCCGACGAGGCGCTCGGATCGGCAGACGGTCTGGCGCGAAACGCCCAACAGCGTGACTACGCCAAAATCGGCGGCAGCCATGTTGGAGAGGTTCCGACGCACGCCCATCGCAATGGTGGAGGTCCAACTCAACTGCTGCGAACCAGTCTTCGAGATGACGAGCGGATCACCGACGCCACCCTCGAGGACGGCGATGCGCGTCTCGTGGCGCTTGATCACGGCGTGCTGGCGCACGAGCCGCGCCCGCAACGCCCTCGCCGTGCGCTGGGCCTGAGCGAGCCGCTGCTCGTTCCTGGCGGCACGGCGACGCGCGGCGAGCGGGGCGATGGGGCCCGATCGGCACGTCCCGCATGGCACGACGGCCGACGATGATGCCACCGACGCCGACGAGCGGGGCACGGGCGTGGACGGCGTGGACTCCCGCGGCGTGGACGGCCTGGACGGCTGGGACACGGCAACCACAGCCGCATCGACGCTGCCAGCAGGCGACGGGCGCGCGCCGTTGATCAGGCGCAGCTTCAGCTCGAAGGCCAATCTGGTCAGCAGCGCGTGGCCGAGCGGCTGCACGCGCAGCGTGGCCGAGCGGCGTAGGGAGGGCGGAGGCGGAGGCGGGATGGGTGAGGGAGGAGGGAGGGTGCGGCGGGGGCGGAACGTGGGCGGGGGCGAGGATTCGGAGGGAGGCCGGGGGGGTGGATGGGGCGAAGGCGAGAGGGATGAGGTGAGGAGTGGCGGGGAAGAGGGAAGTGAGGAGGGAGGCGAGGAGGAAGGCGAGGTGGACGATGAGGCGGGAGGTGATGAGGGACGGCAGGGGGTGCGAGGCACGGTGTGAGGCTGGGCAGGGGTGCGGGGCGGGGTAGCGGGGGGAAGGGCGGGCAGCGGGCTAGACCAACACGTCGTCGGCGACGGCGATCGTGAAGTGGCCGGCCGTGTGCGGGTCGACGAACGCCGGGGCCTCGGCCAAGCCGATCGGGCCGATCGGAAGCCGCGGCCCGACGCGGCCCCACACGATGACACGACGACGGGATCGGAGAGGGGGGCGGGGTGAATCTGAATCGACAAATGGGGTGGACGGAGGTCGGATCGGGAGGACGGCGGGGGGAATGCTGGGGAAGGGGCGCGGGGCGCGGAGAGAGAGTGGAGGGAGGGAGAGGGCGGGCGAAGCGGGAGGGGTGGAGGTGGATGGGGAGCAGGGCGGGGATACGAGGGAGGGTGGACGCGTAGAGAGAGAGGGAGAGATAGAGAGAGAGAGAGAGAGAGAGAGAGAGAGAGAGAGAGAGATGGACGGCGTGGAGAGGCGGAGAGGGAGGGGGGGCCAGACGGCGGACGACGGGCGGCGCGGCGTCGGCCGACGCAGCGGCGCGTCGACCCCGCCGACGGCCGACGGGCGACAATCGGAGCGGCGGTCGACGACGGCGACGGCGGCGGCGCGACGGCAACGGCGGCAGCGACGACGACGCGACGCTGCCGAGCCCGCCGCCAGGCCGTGCTGACCAGCGCGGCCCGCGCCACCAGCCGCGCCCGCCGCAGGGTCCGCGTAGCGCCGGGCGACGCGCAGGCGGCCCTAGCGGGCGGATGGGGGGGGGCACGAAGAGCTAGGTGAGGGGTGAGAGAAGCAAGGAGCGAGGATCGGGGGAGGAAGCTGGCCATCCCACCCAGCCACCCATAATCCCTCCGACCATCTCTATTCGCCTGTTATGCCCCTCCATCGCGCCCGCCACCCGTCATCCCATCATCCCCATCATCACCCGCACTCTCCATGACACAGCGCGCAGCACGATGAAGCTAGGATGCAAGGCCGCAAGGCCCGTGGAAGTCGACGACGAGGGATGGCGGCCAGCCGTCACGGGAGGACGAAAGGATGCAAGGGCGTGGACGGTCGGGGCTCGGGGGGGGGGGGGGGGGGGGAGGGTGGGGAGGGGGGGGGAGGGGGGGGGGGGGGGGGGGGGGGGGGGGGGGGGGGGGGGGGGGGGGGGGGGGGGGAGGGGTGGGGGGAGGGGGGGGGGGGGGGGGGGGGAATCACACGCGCGCGCACCTCACACGCGCGCGCACCTCACACGCGGCGCACTAGCAGGATGCGACCAGCAAGGACGGACGGGAGGGGCGGGGTGATGTGGTACAGTCAACCCGCGGAGTAAACCGATAAGGACGCACAGTCCGACGTTTTTTTCGAGCGGATCTGCCAGCGAAAGATGCAAGGGATGGGCCGAAGGGGCAAGGATTCAAGGGTAATCTCGGAAAAAATGCGCAGCCTGACTCCGCGGGTTGAGTGCAATGGATATGTGTTCTTTTCGCCGCACAAATGCGGGCCGAGGCCCAAACGATGTTGGCCTAATGAACGGCAGGAGCGGCCCGCCGACGCGCTCCCACGCAGCACGCGATGCATTGGTTGTAAGTTAAAACCAATACGTATCCGGCGACGACTCGCGCTCACGATCAGCCAGCCGGCGCGCACGCACCTCGCTCAGCACCGACTCGTAGAAGGGCATGGGCTCGGCGTTGGGCTCGGCGTCGGGCGGCTTGGCCGTGTCGGCGTCGGGCGCGGCGTCGTTGGCGCGGGGCCTCTTGGCGGCGGGCGTGGCGACGGTCTCGGCGTCGGACGTGGCGTCGGGCGTGGCGGCCACGCCCGACGCGGCGTCGGGCTCGGCACGGAGCGTGGCGTCGGGCTTGGCGTCGGGCTTGGCGCGGAGCGTGACGTCGGGCTCGGCCTCGGCGATGGGCTTGGCGTCGGGCTTGGCGTCGTCGAGCTTTGCGTCGAGCTTGGCGTCGGGCTTGGCGTCGGCCGCCTCCGCGAAGTCCAGGAGCTCGCCGAGACGCCGGGCCGCCGCGCGAGCAGCCGGCGTGCGGATCCTTCGCTGCGCCGCCCCGAACTCAGCGGGCGCCCGCGGCGGCGCGAGGATGGCGGCCCACGGAAGAGGCTCCATGCTTGAGACAAGGCGGCTATGATGGTGATGATGGTGATGGTGATGCTGATGATGATGAGCGTGATGATTGCGCTGGTGAGTGTGAAGATGATGATGAAGATGGCCCCGCCCCTCCTCACGCCATCCCCACGCCTCGTCCGCGTCATCATCCGTGGGTGCGGGGCCGTTTGTTCCGCGGGAGGCCCTGACGCCGCGTGGTCACGGTGGACATTGGATAAGGAAACCGACCCAGTGGATAAGGAATCCAGAGTCTGGAAGCCAGCGGAGCTCCAGTAGTGGATATAAGTATCGCTGTCACCCCTCATCGGATAAGGAGTCCTCCCACCCAACTGTCCCCGAGATCGATGATGAGCAGGTGCGATCAAATGGCGCACGAGCATCACCCAAGCGCGTGCGCGGAGTGCCCGCGACCCGCGACACGCGCACGGCGCGCGGTGGTGCCGATCGCGAGCTGGACCAAATCCGCCACCCGGACGGGCGATCGGGCGTGTCGCATTGCGTCGTGGGGCCCACTTGGGGGCCCCTGAAAAGGCGAGAAGGCATAACATTTTTTAAAGAAAAAAATCAACGATAAGAGGCAACTTGGAAGCCTCTCGGGGAGTCTTGGAGGCATCGTGGGAATCGTGGGCCGTCTGAAGACGATCGCGGCGCGGCAGTGGCAGCAGTGAGTATGGCATTCACTGCTACCACTGCCGTGATATGTGACGGCGACGACGACGACAGTGACCCCCCCCCGACGAATGATAAAATTATAAGGTGCAGGCGGCGATGCCCGTCGCGCTTCCGCTGGACGCACAGGAGGTCACGAAATGCGGTGACAGTGCACGGGCGGCGGCAAGTGCGGGGCACGTGATATCGTGGAACGAGTGCGCAGGTGGCGACGGCGGCGGCTCACGCCGCCGCGCCGTGACGATTGCGCCGCGCCGCGCCCACGGCGGCGGCCGCTTCACAGCGAATTTGGCACCGAGGCCGAGGTCAGCGACGGGTGGCTGCCCCCGCTGCCACTCGTCGATCCCGTCGCGCTGCTCGATGTGCCCGGGCGTGTGGCCGCCGGGCTGGCCGAGCTGGCGGTGGCCGACGACGTCGCCCTCGCAGTCGAGGTCGAGGTCGCCGTCAGCGGCGGGCTGCCCATCCCGCTGCCACTCGGCGAGCTCGCCGGACGCGTGGCCGTGGTGGCCGACGTCGGCGTCGCGCGGGCCAGCGAGGTCACAGTCAGCGACGCGCTGCTGGTCCTCAAGCACGGCCCCCGCCACCGCCGCGACGCGCGCAGGAGCGCGCGGCATGATGCCAGCTCGGATCTTGAGCCACAAATGGCAACGGACGGTGATGGCGCCTGCGGCGGGCTCGGGATCCCCATGCGTTTTGAAACGAAAAATGATGTGCCTGTGGTGGGGTTGGGATCCCCATTGATTTTCGGTGATAAAATCGGCGCCTGCGGCGGGCTTGTGCTCCCCCCATTTGCTTTTGGTGGACACAGAAATCGGCGCCTGCGGTGGGCGTGTGATTCCCATTTGTCGGCGGTGGGAAAAACGGCGCCTGCGGCGGGCTTGGGATCCCCGACAGGAGGATAGGAGGATGACAGATCGGAGAGGGGGGGTGGCGGGGACATGACGAAGCGAGGAGGAAGGTGCGGGCGGGAGATAGCAGGCGCGGGCCTGCTCGTCCGCGCCGAGCGCCGCCGCCACCGCGGCCAGCGCCCGCCGCGGCAGCACGGGGTCCCCGTAGCCATTGAGGACGGAGGAGGCGGCGAGCGAGGGGAGGAGGCGGGAGAAAGCGAAGGGCCCCGCCATAGCCAAAATGGCTGGAGGCATCGAACGGGGGAGAGGTAAAAGCACGCACGGGAGAAGGAGAGGGAGAGGGAGGGAGGGGAGGGAAGGGAGAGGGAAGGAGGGAGAGGAAGAGGGAGAGTGAGGGGAGGGAGGGGGAGGGAGGGGAGGGAAAGGGAGGGGAGAGGGATAGTAAACCGTGATGGAGGGGAGGGAGGGGAGAAGGGGAGGGAGGGTCGGGGGGTCGGGTGATCACCGCAAAAACGCAGAAATAGGGCCCAGGAAATAAGGTACGATGATGGTGATAAATGATGGGCATATGCATACACAGACCCAACATCCCAAGAACACACGCCCCTAATTTTAATAGACAGTGTGTTTATGATGTCACATTCGTGACGGCGGTGATCCAGAAAAATAACAAACTGCAAAACAGGCGTATGCGACAATTGGTTTTAGGGTGTCAGAATACGTAAACAGGTACTACGAAAGTTATGAACTATAATATTTTGCGAGTGTGGTTTTCACGAATCCGAGCGCACGCCCAGCTATAATAGCGGATACCATGATAGCTCAACGGCTCCAAATAGGCCCCAAACCGAGCGTCAGGAGGTCTCCCCGCGGCGACCTCCTGACGCAACTGGTCACGCCCTAGAGCCCACTCTGGACGTTACTAGTAGAGGCGCCATGACATCTGGGGAAAAATCGTGGCCCCCGCCATGATACCCCCCCCCCCCCTAGTCATCACCCCCTCTTTTCCGCCCGCGATGACTCGGGCAGGCACGTCCGTTCCCTGCCGCGCCCCTCAGCGCCGAAGCGGTAGGCCGGGACCGTGCGTGGCGCGGCGTCCACAGAGCCGCGTTGCGGCATCTGCTGGCGGCCGTCGCCTTGCCGTTGCTGGTCCTGCGGCGGACTGTGCGAGGGCCCGGCGCTGCGAGGTAATCCCACCAGCCTTTAGGGCCGTAGGTGGTTCAGGGCGGTTCCTCTTCCAACCTCCCTCTTCCCCTCCGGAGAAAGGCTTTCCTCTCCCCATACCCCTCTCCTTGGGTCTGGACGGGCAAGGTCGCGAGTGGTCAGAGCGTCCAAGCTGGCCCAGGATGGCCCAAGATGGCCCCAAAAGGGTCCCAGATAGCCCAAGAGGGCTTCCAGTATCGCACAAGATAGCCCAAGATGATTCAACATAGCTTCCAACATGTCTCCGAGAGGTCTCAAGACCCTCCAAGACGGATCCAAGCGGCCTTGGGGGCTTCCCGGGACGGCCTCAAGAGGTCAACATGAGTTCAAAACCAATGGAAAATCAGTGATCGTGGCCTGCTCGTCTGTTCCCGTTCGCTTCCAATGGCCGTCCGCGGACTCAGGATGACTCCAAGAGGGCCCAAGAGAGATCCAAGAGGGGCCTAGAGGGCTGCAAGACGGCCCCACGAGAGCCCAAGAACGCCACAAGAGGGCTCCACTAGGCAACTTCTGGATTTCCCCTCCTTAGGGCACCCCCTCCTTCATGGCCAATGACTCCGACCCCCGACGTCAGGCCTGTTCCACGACGCGGGCTCAAAGAAGTCTGGACCCCTTCCCAGGTAGCTTTCTGACTGACCCAGGGCCCGCGAGCGCCCTTGGCAGCAAGCAGTGGCGAAGCTTGCCAGCGTGAACCTCGACCAGGGAGTTACGCGTTGCAAATGGCATACCCCCCACAGGCGGCAACGGATGGCAGCGGGAGGCAGCGTGGCGAAGCCTTGGCGTGCCCACGCAGGCAGCATCGGGCGGCGATGGCCAGCAGCGTGGCCATCCCCAGCACACCCACACAACGCAATAGGCGCCCGCGACGCGGAGGAGAGGCGGCAACAGGCGGCAACGTGGGAACCCTCACCACAACCAGCACGAAGCGGCAACGACGCGGCAACGAGACGGAAACAGGCGGCAGCAGGCAGCAACGAGGCGGATCCTCGGCATAGCCCCACAAGCGGCAGCGTGCGGCATCGGCCTGCCACGCGGCCGATCCTCGGCACACCCACGGAGCGCACGAGGCGACCACGACGCGGCACCGAGGCGGCAACGGTCGGCAGCGGGCGGCAAGGTGGCGACTTCTGGGCATGCCCGCACAGCGCACGAGATGGCGACGGCGCGGCAACGGGTGGCAACGTGGCAAATTCTCGGCAGATCCCCACGGGCGGCCAGTGGGCAACGTGGCGAATCCTGGGCAGACATACCCACGCAAAAGACAACGGGCGGCAACGTGGCGCATCCTCGGCGTACCCCCACAGGAGGCAACGGGCGGCATCCTGGCGCATCCTCGGCAGACCATCCAATTCCTCCGTTGAGTACGAGCCCCTACGTGCAAATATTGCGTTTTGGAGGACAGTGCGCACGCCGTGGTTTGTGCAGGACCCGAGGGGGGGTTCGGATGGAGCTCGGCTGAAGTTGCAGCTCGGATGGAGCTCGGCTGAAGCTTTCGGATGGAGCTCGGCGGAGGTTGCACCACTCGGCCGAGCAATCGACGGGGAGGCGGCCAGGCCGCCGGGGTCCGACGGGCCTGGGCGGGTGCGCAACGGGACCGAACGAACGAAAGAGAGAGAGAGAGAGAGGCGAGAGTGGCATGTAGGAGCCCTGGCCAGCGCGCGACACTCCGCCCTCGAAGTAGAACGCGGGCCGCCGCCACGGGACCGAAAGAGAGAGAGAGGAACAACAACACGAGAGCGGCACATCGGAGCTCTGGCCAGCGCGCCGCGCTCCGCCCTCGAAGTCGAGCGCGGCACGCGGCGCCTCCTGGCGGGAGCTTCTGCTGTGCGCGTCGCGGCGGCGAACCCCGTGCGAGCGGATGGCGTGCCGCTCCGCTCCGTTGGACGGGGGGTCCCGAAGAGCAGATGACCGCACATCGCACTCATCCGCCAAAGCCCCGCTTGCAGGCGAGGAGGAGGACGACGAGGAGGAGGAGGAGGAGGACCAGCGTAAACCCAAGAGCCGTCAACGATGCTGGAATTAACCCTCCCTCCAAGCTCCCTCTTTACAGGCCTCCACAACGGTTCAATTCCATTGAGGGAACTGCCTCGTTGGAAGGCAGCCGTTTGACGATCCTGAAGCATGCCAAAACATACGCCACGGATCAACCTGACTGCTGCGTCTTGACGATCTGGAATCGTGCCAGAAAGCCATTTGTGGGACTTCATCACCGCGAATCAACATAAGTGTTGCGCCTGCAAAAACCCTGAATATTTCCCGAACGCCATTTCTGGTACGCTGATCATGGGAAGCGATGAAATCCTTGCAAATGTTTAAAACGAATGCGCGCGGCGCTACGGCGAGACCAACATTTTGAAAAGGAGCCACCCTCAATCCGTGAAGCTTTTGCGAATTATGATAACAGATGTGCGCGGCGCTAAAACTAGAGCCACATGTTGAAAAGGAACCGCCCTAAATCCGTGAAACTCTGGCAATTGTTGTAAAAAACGAATGCGCGCGGCGATAAGGCGAGAACCATATTTTGAAAACGACCCGCCCTCAATATGTGAAATTTTGAGGAATTTTGAAAACGAATGTGCGCGGCGCTAAAGCGAGAGCCACATTTTGAAAACCACCCGCCGTCAATTCGTGAAGCTCTTGCGAATGATAAAGAAAAGCACGGATGTGCGCGGCGCTGAGGCGAGAACCAGATTTTGAAAACGACTTGCCATCAATCCGTGAGATTCTTGCAAGTTTCCAAAACGAATGTGCGCGGCGCTAGGGCGAGAGCCACATTTTGAAAACCACCCGTCCTCCATCTGTGAAGCTGTTGCCATGTTTTAGGCTTCAGAGCCATAAATGGTGAGGAAGTCTCAGGCGAGACGCCCGGCCCACTCTAAAACTGGCCTCGGGGTGCGACAGGGAGAAATCATGTATGGAGGAAGAGGAATGGAGGAGGAGGGAGAGAGAGATAGATGGATAGGAGGAGGAGGAGGAGGAGGAGGAAGAGGAGGAGGAGGAGGAAGAGGAGGAGGAGGAGGAAGAGGAGGAGGAGGAGGAGGAGGAGGAGGGAGGAGGAGGATGGAGGAGGCGGAGGAGGAAGAGAAGGAGGACGAGGAGGACGGGAGGGGGAGGAGAGAGGGAGGAGGAGGAGGAGGAGAGGAGGGAAGGAGGAGGAGGAGGAGGAGGAGGAGGAGAGGAGGAGGAGGAGGGAGGAGGAGGGAGGAGGAAGAGGGAGGAAGGAGGAGGGAG